ACTGTTGGCCAGGCACTGTCCACAGCCTCTCGTAAGACATTCTCAGTGCTGTGGAGACTTCAGCCACAAGCCAAACAGCAGATCTGCCTGGTCCACCCGATGGTCCATCAGAGCATGTCATAGATGGAGGACCCCCAAAAGCCACCCTCATATTTTATAAGTGCTGCAGCTGAGACTCAGAGAGAGGAAAGCACCTGACTCCAGTCACACAACTTGGTGGCAGAGTTAGGAGCATCTTGAGTCCTGGAGGGTCATCTCTCAGGCCAGACCAATGTGACCACTGGGTCCTCACAGCTAGAGGGCTCTGAGTCCAATCCTTGCGATCCCTTCTTGTCATCTGGGGAAGGTTCCACCTCCGGTGCCTGGATGTCCCTGGAGAGCACAGAGGAGGGAATGGGGACTTCCAAAGCAGTGGAGAGCACTTTGCTTGCAATGATAGCCAGACAGGAACCTCACGAGCTCCTGAGTGGAGGAGGACCATGCAGAAAGCAGTGTTGACATCTGGAAAGGAAGTGCAGGAGGGGTTAGAGAAGAAAGAGGCTGCAGGGAGGAGGAGATGGGGAGGAGACAGCTGCCCAGCCTCATGGTTGGAGAGAGAAGACTCCAGGCTCAGTAGTGTTGGTGGAGGGAAAAGAGGGGAATCTGAGGAATGTTGCAAAGAAGGGTGCCTGGGTTGTGTGTTGAGATAGGAGGCTGCCTCCATTTCCATTTCCTCCTTTGTACAAAGAGGGTGTGAGACCAACCTAGACCAATGATTCTATAGTAGCTATTACAGTAGCTACTAATAATAGCTAACTTCATAGAAAGCTTGCCCTTCTAAGGGTTTAATATTTGTTAATTCATTTAATCTTCATAAAAATCCTATCAGTGCTGTTATTAGCCCCCATTCTACAGAAAGGGAAACTGTTGTTAGGTGCCATCGAGTCTGTTTTGACTCATAGTGACCCCATGTACAACAGAACAAAACACTGCCCAGTCCTGTGCCATCCCCACAGTCCTTGCTATGCTTGAGCCCATTGTTGCAGCCACTGTGTCAATCCATCTCACTGAGGGTCTTCCTCTTTTTCACTGACCCTCTACTTTACCAAGCATGATGTCCTTCCCCAGGGACTAGTCCCTCCTGATAACATGTCCAAAGTACATGAGATGAAGTCTCACCATCCTCCATTCTAAGGAGAATTCTGGCTGTACTTCTTCCAAGACAGATTTCTTCATTCTTCTGGCATTCCATGGTATATTTAGTATTCTTCGCCAACACCGTAATTCAAATGCGTCAATTCTTCTTCGGTCTTCCTTAGTTATTCATTGTCTAACTTTCACATGCATATGAAATGATTGAAAATACCATGGCTTGGGTCAGGAGCACCTTAGTCCTCAAAGTGACATCTTTGCTTTTTTTTTTTTTAATTTTATTTAGTTTGTTCTGGTTGAGAATATATACAGTAAAATATACACCAATTCAATGGTTTCTACATGTAAAATTTAGTGACACTGATTACATTCTTCAAGTTGTGCAACCATTCTCACCCTCCCTTTTTGAGTTATTCCTCCCTCAATAACATAAGCTCACTGCCCCCTAAGGTTCCTATCTAATCTTTCAAGTTGCTGTTGTCAATTTGATCCCATATAAAACCAAAACCAAACCCATCGCCATCAAGTTGATTCCAAGTCATAGCGACGCTATAGGACAGAGTAGAACTGCCCCATAGGGTTTCCAAGGAGTGGCTGGTGGATTCAAACTGCTGACCTTTTGGTTAACAGCCAAGCTCTTAACCACTGTGCCACCAGGGCCCCTGATCCCATGTAGATAGTTCTTAAAAGAGAGTAATGCTCAAGGAAGACTTTTTTTTTTACTAGTTAAGCTAAACTACTGTTTGGCTTTAAGATGACTTCAGGGGATATTTTTGATTTAAGGTTTAAAGATTATCTCAGGGCAGTAGTTTCAGGGTTCATCCACCCTCTATGACTCCAGAAAGTCCAGAGTCCATAAGAATTTGAAATTCTGTTCTGCATTTTCCCTCTTTTGATCAGGATTCTACATCTTTGTTTTTCAACACTTTAAAGAGGTCTTTTGCCACAGATTTGACCAGTGCAATATGTTGTCTGATTTCTTGACTGTGTTGATTGTGAATCCAAGTAAAATGAAATCCTTGACAACTTCAATCTTTTCTCCATTTATCATGTTGTTGCTTATTGGTCAAGTGGTGAGGATTTTTGTTTTCTTTATGCTGTGATGTAATCCATACTGAAGGCTGTAGTCTTTGATCTTCATCAGTAAGTGCTTCAAGTCCTCTTCACTTTCAGCAAGCAAGGTTGTGTCATCTGCATATTGC